TTTTTAGACAGAGTCTAATATAGCCCAGGCTGGCCTCAAACTCAATACATAGTTTAGGATGACTTTGAACTTTTGGTCTTCCTTCTTCCATTTCCCTATTTTATATCCCTAGTGCTAGTATTTTAAGGATGTGGTACTATGGCTTGGTTTAGTAGACACGTTAAAAGTGAGGTCCTGGGTATGGTGGCACACACCTTTAATCCCAGTACTCAAGAGGCAGAGACAGACAGATCTCTATGAGATCAGGGCCAGCCTGGTCTATGTAAGGCCAGCTAGGGCTTTGGGGAGACCCAGTCTCAAAAAAAAAATAAAAAAAAAAAGTTGTCTCCATTGATCAATATATATATATATATGGGTGCATGGTGGTAGAGCCCTTGTGTGGCAGATACAGGTCCCTGGATTTGAGGTCTGGTCCCGGGATTTGAGGTTCAGTGTCCCAACATCAAAAGGAAAAAGAAAATTGAAGTGAAGTTGTGGGAAGACTTGTTTGGGAGAGACTTAACCATGCATTCATTCAGATATTCACTGGGTACTTTCTGTATGCAGGTCATAATTCTAAACACTGGAGAAATCAAAGAATGAAACAGACATGTGTCTGTTCTCCTGGAAGGCTAGGGACAAAGACACTCAGTAATTGCATGATGATTTAGTTATGGTTGGATAAATGGGGAAAACATTTAGATAGACTATCTTGATAGCTGATACAATAGAGCATTTGTCAGAGTCTAGGAAAGTCAAGTGTTTTTGTTTTTGTTTCTTTGTTTTTTGTTTTTTGTTTTTTCGGTCTCTTTGAATCAGGGTCTCCCTGTAGCCCCAGCTGACCTGGAACTCACTTTGTAGACCAGGCTGGCCTTGAACTCACAGAGATCTGCCTGCCTCTGCCTCCCAAGTGCTGGGACTGAAGGCGTGCACCACCACGCCTGGCTTGGAAAGTCAGGTTTTAAGCCAAACTTTGAAGAATGGAAGAGCAGAAATTGACTAGGCCAACAGATATGGTGGAGGTGGGATGAGAAAGACTTGTGGAAAGCTGCTGGCAAGTGTGAGGCACTCAGAAGGCTAGTGTGTGTGATCAAAATGAAGAGGGCAGGAAGGGACACCGATGTAGCTAGATTAGGTAAGGTAGAAAATGCAGAACACCCTATAAATAATAAGTTAGTGGAGGGTTAGAAGCAGGAAAAGTGACTTGCATATTTTCTAAAAGAACAGCTGGGCTACTCTTTTAAAAGATTAGTAATGTGTGCCTACGGAGGCCAGAAGAAGGTGTTGAATACCCTGGAACTGGAGTCATAGATGATTGTTAGCTGCCGTATGAGTGTTGGGAATTGAACCCAGGTCCTCTGCGATAGTAGACAGCACTCAATCACTGAACCATCTCTCCAGCCCCCGAGGGTAGTTTTTTTTTTTTTAAATCTTTTTGAGACAGGGTCTCCCTGTAGCCCCAGCTGTCCTGGAACTCACTATGTAGACCAGGCTGACCTTGAATTCACAGAGATCCACCTGCCTCTGCCTCGAAAGTGCTGGGACTAAAGGCGTGCGCCATCACGCCCTGCAAAGTATTTTTAAATTGAGGGCAAAGAGCTTGGAGCAGAGATTAAAAACAAAGAGAAAAGGAAAAGCTGATTTATAGAGTAAGATTACTAGAGAGGAAAAGGATGGGATCGTTGTGCAGTGGCAGAGAACTTAGCTGTAAGGGCAGCAGCAAGCCTGCTCTTAAGAAAAAGGAATGGTGGGGCTGCAGAGGTAGGTCAGCAGTTAAGAACATTGGTTATTCTTCAAGAAGACCTGAGTTCGAATCCCAGCACGCACATGGCAGGTAACAACTGTCCATAACTCCTAGTCCCAGGGGATCCAACAGCCTCTTCTGACCTCCACAGGCATTGCACGACACGGGTGCACTTACCTACATGCAGGCAATACACACATACAAATAAAATAAAAATAATAAATAAAGCCGGACGTGGTGGCGCACGCTTTTAATCCCCGCACTTGGGAGGCAGAGGCAGGTGGATCTTTGAGAGTTTGAGGCCAGCCTGGTCTACCTAGCAAGTTCCAGCCCAGCCTGTGCTGCATATTGAGACCCTGTCTAAATAAATAGGGGAGAGAGCAATGGAAACAGAAACCTGCACTGACTTCTTAAAAGGAATGAATCTTGTCACAGATAAATCTAGTGTCAGGGGTGGGAATGTAGCTGAGTTGATAGAGTATTCATCTAGCATGAAGGAAGTCCTGGTTTTCTTCAATCTGGCATGGTGGCATAAAACTATTAGTAATTCCAGCACTTGGGAGGTAGATAGGATCAGAAATTCATCCTTGGCTATATAGTGAGTTTGAAGCCAGCCTGGGCTACAAAGTCCCTGTCTTGATAAAATAAATCTAGAGTTCTCAATGAGGAAAAGTGGAACTACACTTCTTTTTTTTTCTTTTTTTGGTCTTTTTGAGACAGGGTCTCCCTGTAGCCTCAGCCTGGAACTCACTGTGTAGACCAGGCTGGCCTTGAACTCACAGAGATCAGCCAGTCTGCCTCCCCAGTGCTGGGATTAAAGGTGTGAGCCTTTTTTTTTTTTTTTTCTTTTTGAGACAGGGTCTTTATAGCTCTGGGATTAAAGGTGTGTGCCACCACGCCTGGCACATTTTACTTTTTAAAAAAAGATTTATTTTTATTATTTTTAAATTATGTGTCTTTGTGTATGTGCATGTGAGTGTCAGTGCCCACATAGGTCAGAGGCATTGGATCCCCTAGAACTGAAGTAATAGGCAGTGGTAAGCAGCCTGACGTGATTGCCTGTAACAGAGTTCCAATCATCTGGTAGAAAGTAAGTATTCTTAACCACTGAGCCATCTCTCCAATCTGCCTGATTGTTGTTTTGCCTTTTTTGGAGTGTGTGTGTGTGTGTGTGTGTGTGTGTGTGTGTGTGTGTGTGTGTGTGTGTGTGTGGTTTTTAGTTGTTGTTGGTTTTTGACAGGGTTTCACTACCTACAGTACCAGGCTGGCCTCAAACTAAGCAGAGGTCTGCCTGCTTCTGCCTCCAGAGTGCTGAGATTAAAGGCTTGCTCCACCACTCCTGACCTTGTTTTACCTTTTGAAACAATGTCTCATACAACCCAGGCTGGCCTCAAACTTGCTATGTAGTTTGAACTCCAAATCTGGGTCTCCTCTTCCTCTTCCTCCTCCCAGATACTGGAACTGTAGACATATGCCACCATTCCCAGCTTGAACTGCATTTAAAAGGAGATGTAGGAAGCCAGGCATGGTGATACATACCTGGTCTATTTAGCCAATACCAGGTTAGCTGAGGCTACAGGGAGACCCTGTCTCAAAACAAAAAAAAAAAAAAAGAAGGAACTGTAGGAGATGTAGCTTAGTGGTAGCACATGTGCCTCGCATGTATCAAGTCCTGGATTCCATCCCCAGCACCACAAAAATAATAAAAAATAAATTCAAACCAAAGGAGTTACGAAGGGCTGGAGTTTAGCTCTTGGGAAAACACTTGCCAAGGCCTGTATATAGTCCAGTGACTATTTCTCTCTCTTCCCAGGTATTGAAAACCTCCCATTTGAATTACAGAGAAACTTTCAGCTCATGAGGGACTTAGACCAAAGGACAGAGGGTATGTATAGAGTCATAGGTTCTTGTAAATCATCATGTGTTTTTGTACTTCCTATTACCATATCTGGTATGATCTAGATACTAGAAATGTGACTTTTATTTCTCTGTGTGTGTGTGTGTGTGTGTGTGTGTGTGTGAGAGAGAGAGAGAGAAGAGAGAGAGAGAGAGAGAGATGCCTGGAAAATTGAACCTAGGGTCTTGTACATTCTAGGTAAATACCACTGAGCCCACTGCTTGCAATTTTTAAAAACTGTTTTACTTACTTGGAATTCTTAAGAGGGTATTGGTGATCGTCACTCCTATTGATCAGCTTTCCCATATCAAATGGAATATTCAGACAATGCCTGAAGAATTCAGAGTTCCTATGATCTTTATACTTCCTCAAGAATTCAAGACACCAACTTTAGAGTCATTTCTGCTGTCCTTATCTGTGACAGTTCTATGATAACCCCAATGTTTCAGCTTCATTGCATTGTTAATGTTATTACAAAATTCACAGAGGGCTTTCGAGTACAAGTTTTGACAGACAGGAACTTCTCTGACAAGTTCTTTAAAAGTAAGAAGAAAGAACTGGGCATGATGGCACACGCCTGTTATCCTAGCACTTGGGAGGTGGAGACAGGAGGATAAAAAATTCAAGGTCAGCTGGGCATGGTGGCATACATCTTTAATCTCAACACTCAGGAGGCAGAGGCAGATGGAGCTCTATGTGATTGAAGCCAGCCTGGTCTACATAGTAAGTTCTGGGCCAGCTGGGCTACAGGGAGACCCTATCTCTAAAAACAAAATTCAAGGTCATCCTCAGCTACATGTCCAGTTTGAGCCCACCTTGGGCTACACAAGACCCTTTCTCAAAAAAAAAAAAAAAAAAAAAAAAACCCAAACAATAATAATAATAAAGCAAGAGAAGGAGGAAAAACAGAAAAACAAAGGTGTCAATTAACATTAAGAGCTCTCCGCTGTCTTCTTCAACCTCACAGAAGCATTAACTGCCCTCTCAGGCTCTAGACTTTGAGCAGTTTTGTCTATACTGACGCATCCACTTGGACTCTGAAGGAGGCGACACTACTGTGGTCAGATGGCCTATTCAAGCTGTCCCTCTACTCACAGAAGGTGTTAGGGGTCTTACCATCCATTCTGTGTAGCCATATTTAAGACTATAACAAGCTGGTGTTCAGATACGGGAAGCCATGTCTTAGCTAAGTCTCTTCGTGAAAAGATGAGCATCAAGCCAGGTGTGGTAGCACATGCCTTTAGTCCCAGGCAGAGGCAGGCGGATCTCTGTGAGTTTGAGGCTAGCCTGGTCTACATAGCGAGTTCCAGGCTACAGGGAGACTGTCTCAAAAATATCACAAAAAGAAAAGATGAGCATTACCTAAAGTCCTGGAAGTCTACCCCTGAAAACTGTCTGCCAGATGGTTAGAACCAGCTGGATTTCTTTGTAATACAATTCTAAGACTTGAGTTCATACACAACGACCAGCTGGAAATTTGGAGCTATCTGTTCCCCTCCCCTCTTCTAAAGGCCTGGAATGCAGTAAAGTGTAAACATAGTATGTTCCAGCTGCTCCCTGTTGGTACCTGTTGCTGCTGCCTTTTGTTACAGTGTTTTGCCTCTCTCCATTGACATTTTTATGAACCCTACCAAATGTCTGGGAGTAGACAGTATCCCGGGATATCACCAATCTTCTAGGATTAAGGTATTTGGAGCAGAATCTGAGATGAGCAAAGAGAAAAAAGTGAGGAGAACTGCAAGCAAGTTGCAACTGATTAACAAAATCCATTGGGAAAGCTGGGTGTGGTGGCTGGGTGCTTGCAATCCCAACAATTCAGGAGGCTTGGCTTCTGTTTGAGGCCAGGCTGGACTGCATTTGAGTTCAAAGACAACTACAGAATGAGACCTTAATACTCACAAAACTGAAGGAAAAAAAAAAAAAAAAAAAAAAGGGGG